TTGTCATAACTAAATGTATATTGATAACCATTACTGGTCTAGATAGAAAAGCTGATTTTTCTGTCTTTGATTTATAAGTTCATAATAAATTATTGACGTTAAATTACTTAGAAATCTTGATGAGTAATAAGTGTTTTAGAGAAATAAACTACAGTTTAACGAAATTTTGTTTGCTACATTTTACATGAGGTGCCACGGTTTGATTGGGCGACTAGTTATAGTTTTTCTCACAAGGCGTAACTTTTAACTGAATATAAAGCTATATTTTATACTATTTTTAAAAAAGAATTTATAACTGTCACAAAACAGCTTTACAACAAGATAACGTAATGTACGATCAATAAGTCAATTCCTTGAACCACGTATCAAGGAACGATATCTGCACTATCACAAACACTTTTGCTCTACTAGCAGACTACACAAAGACTTAAACGCCTCGTATTTTACGTTAAACACTAAGTTTGACAATTCACTTTATTTCACGATATACTGCATTTATATGCTATTCCTCAATAATTCATGAGTCATACAATTAACATTAGAATCATTTACTGAATTAGATATTAATTTTAGCTACTGCTCCCTTAATGCAGACAACAGTATTTACGAAAATAGACATGTAATGACTAATACAGAATAGTCAGATTACGATATGTCCTATCACGGAACATTTACATGATAATTTACAGTCTACCATAAGTAAATTACAATCACAATGATTCGAACTATAAGTAGATGATTTGCATTCCTTATTATAGCTATTAATTTCAGTATGAGTATAAGTGTCACTGTCATAAAAAGTCAGTGCTATATTAAAACACAGTATATCCAAATTATAAGTTAACTAAATAAGGATAGTCTAATAGAATTATCCTAACATAGATATTTCTACTGTAATACAGTATATTACACTGTAACAATAACGTTACTAAATTAATTCAGTAATAAATTTCTACTTAGCAAATCATAAACCTACTGATACATTTTGTGTGATACTAAGATAGGTAAAATAGTTTCCGATAGGCACTGAAACGTAGTTGGAGCTAGGCATCTTCAGTAGGATTTAGAATTTATTACTTTTAAGAGAGTGAGACCGTAACAATAATCTATATATAGGCACAGCTTATTTCATGTATTAATAAGTGAATATCATAAAACAATTTTACTAGTACTACTAACAAATATTGCATATTATATACCTTTGTAAATTATTTAATTACTTGTATAGTGTAAGATTCATATTATGATGTGTAATGTAAATGCAGTAATTAACGTTGGTCTTAATTATCAAGATTTTGACAAGACTCCTTATTTAAATTAATTATGAATTAGTAACTTGTACTTGAATATAGAATATAAATACCCAACATTCAAGGCTGAGCAAGCTGAGCACGAGGAAGAGATTTAAAGGAGAAATATTGATTGCATCTGATCTTGCTACTAGTTGATGATATATAGGTATTGAATTAGTGGCTGTTCATTTACTTGTTAGCAGCTTCTATTTTCTAACTAACAATTTGAATATATTGTTGGATCTAAGGTCCGTTAGTTATTATTGACTACATTCTAGCATATAGCAATCAAACAAGGCCTATACTTATAATTTATAAGGTGAATCATAAACTTTACTTGAAAAGTTATTTCGAAACAGGAGAAAATAGTATTAGATTTAATTTCTAACGATAAATCAAAAAAAATCAATGCAACTTTAGACAAGCAAATATTACTACTGCTGACATGATGCTAGTTCTATTAACTAAATACTGTACTCTTACAATATCATTTGCTTACTATTTGGAAATTGTTATTCTTCCTAATCTTGAAATATCAAGATGCTTGATTTCTTCTAGGCTAGTTTTAAACAATTGTCGCAAAACACTTTTGCAACAAGTTTTAAGTAAAAATAAATCTCTGAATTTCTAAAGTTTCTGGATTCTGTATCCCTTAATCACTCACACGAACTTAAATGCCTTTACTGCTACGTTACAAAACTAGAGAATTGATTTATTTCAATAATCTGCTGAGTTTAAATGCCTTTCGGCTTAGGCCATCTGTGACGGTGTTATATACAGTATTAGAGTAGAAATATCTATGTTAGGATAATTATGTTAGCCTATCCTTATTTAGTTAACTTCTAATTTGGATATACTGTGTTTTAATATAGCACTGACTTTTTATGACAGTTGTACATATACACATACTAAATTAATAGTTATAATAGAGAATGCAAATCATCTACTTACAGTTCGAATCATTGTGATTGTAACTTAGTTATGGTAGATTGTAAATTATCATGGAAATGTTCCATGATAAGACATATCGTAATCTGAATATTCTGTATTAGTCATCAGATGTCCTTGTTCGTAAATACTGTTGTCTGCATTAAGGGAGCAGTAGCTAAAATTAATATCTAATTCAGTGAATGATTCCAAAGTTAATCGTACTAACTATGACTTTTGAACTATTGAGGTAGTATATAAATGCAGTATATCGTGTAATAAAGCGGATTCTTAAACTTAGTGTTTAGCGTAAAGTACGAGGCGAGGCATCTAAATCTTTGTGTAGTCTGCTAGTACAGCAAAAGTATATCTGATAGTGCAGATATCGTTCCTTGATACGTGGTTCAAGGAATTGACTTATTGATCGTATATTACGTTATCTTGTTGCAAGCTGTTTGTGACACCATCATTGATGAATTATTATCTTATAACAATATTTGTCGATATGGATATTTACGGACTGATTTTATGTAATCGGGCTACAGTAAGTAATATATCCATTCATACAGTCATCCCAATATACCTATATTCTAGTATTAATCATAATTACAGTTGCAAGAGCTTACACTGTAATCAATTACTATATAAAAATTGTATTACAGTACGATATCTAATTTATTGTAACATATTGTAACTTCAGTGATTCCTACTGTAGGCAACTAACTGTAATCACCATAGATAGATGTCAATTCGCTAAATTCAGTCATTTAGCTCTTCACGATAGTTCGCACCGTGAAGCCGATATCCTCTGGCGAATTTATATTGAATACAGTGTTAATAATAAGGAAAGCGTTTAGCGCCATCCTTATTTCGTTACATCGTATCAAACGGATCTCCTGACAGTCATGCCTGCATTTTCTATCAACTTGAAGATAATAACCTGATTTTATAAGATCAATTATTGACTGCAACTATTATCACAAAACAATAATCTTGAAATCAATCATTTTGATAACAATGAAATTGCAATAATTTATCGACGAATGATCAAAATTAGAAATAACTATTAATTTTTCTTCAATCCAAACGAAATTATTATTTCGATGACACGAATGGTCCATAAATAAATTAACCATAACATTTATATTTATTCTTATGACATAACTAAATAGCTTAAATTCACCGAATGTTGCTTTTATCCTCCATCTAAGCTGGCAGGCAAAAATGGAAAGCTTAAATGGTTCTAAAGAAGATGTTAGCAAAATAATTAACTATACAAATCCTACTCTAGATACGAATCTGCTTTCAAGAGCTGGACCTGCAGTCTTCATATTCGTTGCTTTTGGTATCATCCCCAACATTATTATCGTGGCAGGTACTCAATTGAAAAAATCGTTACGTGGAAAAACGTATTATTTTATACGTAATCTAGCATGCTGTGATTTACTACTTGCTCTTTCAAAAATATCTACAATAATTACTTCAATCACGGCAAATAGAAGTCCGATTCCATATCATACTTTCAATATGATTTGTAAATTCTTGATCGTTTTCCCAACTTATTGGTCCTATACAGCTTCTGTACAAACACTGGTTATTATCAGTATCGAGCGTTATCGCGCTATTTATCGACCTACAAAAAAAGTAACGCCTAAAAAGGCTAAATTACTTTGCGCCTTAGCATGGCTTGTCTCACTCTTAATTTCACTACCATTCCTCTTCTCAGCTACATCAGTCCAAAATCAATGTGCTCAATTTCCATCCCAATCGCGTTGGGCTATTATTGTCAATGTGATCTTAATTATATTTCAGTTTGTAATTCCGATGATCGTTATGATTACTGCTTATATTCTAATATTTCGTAAACTTCGGATAACGACGACTTCGATTACACGCGAATCTGCTAATAGTAGAAATCTAAAGCGTAAGACTACTTCTATGTTACTTGCTACGACAGTAACATTTTTGTTATGTGCTTTACCTTGGACCTTAATGTTGCTTTTAGAAGCATTTACTGGTAAATTTGCATCTCAGTTATTTTATGATCTTGGAAATCCTGGACAGCGAGCGATTGCAATACTAGGTATGATATCAATGCCTATATCAACGGTGTATAATTCAGTCATTTACTGTATTTTCAATACAGAAATTCGAGGATTACTTTTTCCTTGCTACAGTCCAAGCAAAATCAACGCTATTGCTATGCCTAGTGAGTTTCTGTCTGGAGAAAAGAATAACAATCGTGATAATAATATGGTAACATTATCTCTACAAAATAATTGCAAGAAAGGAAGCTCAAGTTTAACTTTAATTACTTAAAGCCAAATTTTAATTCATAAAGATAGATTAATTAAAAGTATTAACATAGACATCTAAATTTATTTCCTGAGAAAAAATCCAGAATTTCACGGTATTAATCATTAGAGCCAATATTATTCATTACTACTGCAGTTTTCTAAAGACTATATATATCTCAAAGTTCGAACAAGAAAAATTGTAGTGTTAATCTATACACAAAGTTAAAAGCCAAAGCTAGAAATATTCGATGTTAAAATAAAACAATAGCTACGCTTTATTTCAGAAAATATCCCAATTACTTCGAAAATTATCGAGGTATAATAAAATCACTTTCGCTGTCACTATTTCTGATTCAAAGGTTATAATACTAAGTTTAGCAATGAATATTTACTTCTGAATGTGCAGTATGTCAACTTTATAGTTCGGAGGAGATCATCGGTAAAATCATAGTTGGCAACAAACTCCTAGCTTACTGTAAAGCTTATAAATTACTTAAGTGATACAGGTCGATCAGTGCAAAAATATTGTATATTAATAATAAGTAGTATTATTTAAACAATTTGATTTCGGAGTGTAATAATATAATAATTAATTAACAGTCAAATTCTTATGTAAATCATCATATTTTTATATTCTCAGAGATAATACTGAGACAGCGTTGCTATGTTATGAAGAATGTTCATCAAGGCTCAAAAGAAATTTCTAGACTTTTATTACGGAAAAATTCTTTACATGGAGCCTTTGATATTGCATTTATAAAATATATTAGGTAGGAAAGTATATCGATAGCGATCGATCTATGGCGATCACATCTTTATGTATAGTTATTGAAGTACTTTCGTAATATTATTCAAGCATTGATAATTAAGGTTTACGTAAGTATGCTTTAAGTGAGATGGCTTTGCAATAAAATTTGGTTCCACAGTTCCATCTAAGAAAGATAGTTACTACGCTGTCTTGACTGTGAGAAATGGTCTATATTTAAGTGGCTTACTTCCTCCTAGCAAATTTCGGTTTGCATTAGCACAGTAAGAGTACTTATGAAATTTGTTAAATCATTCCGCTTTTGATTTATACCTGGCAAGGTGAGAATGTAATAAGTTGGGCAATAACAGTGCCATAGATTACTAAACTATCATGAACAATATATAGTAATCCCTGGCAGCTACTAATATCGCGAGTATAGAATGCGGTTTCAAAATTACGGATTAGAAATTTCTAAGATTTACTTGTCCATAATTTCAGAATCAAACGAAAAAGAAGTTATAAGAAATGTACCTTAGAAAAACCAAAATAGTCTCATTCTTTTAATATATTTTACGCAATAGGCATAAAGTTTCTCAAACAGTTACTACTTAATAAAAAGCTTCGGTATTTTCTTATAACCTTACGGGTTATTTTTAAACTGTTTTTTCCTAAATGTATGCAAGAATGCTCGTCTTTAAAACAATATTTAATTACAACTCAACCGTCATGTATTAATAACTGCTATATAATAATATACAGTAATAGCAATTTGTACAACGAACAACTATCCTAGATAGTAAGGTATCATTAAACTACTCCAGTACTCTTCTCCATTATATTTAACTTTAAACAGCAGTTGCTTTTATTTACGACAAAATTTATGATTAAAAGCAATACTTGATTTATATTGTAGCATGAATTGCTTTACTTTCCCTTAAATTAATTTTTCGCATCAATTTTTAGATGAGCTGCATTAAAAGCTGAAGTTTATAATATATCTTTAACGAACATGTAAAAGGATAGACAAAAGCAAAGATTATGCTACTTTAATTCCACCTTAAAATAATACTTACGGGCATAGTTCTCGATCTACAAACGACATTAAACCTTTCTTTGTTTCCTAAATCTATGCAGTATCGGTAACAGTTGAACTTGCTTGTTTCCTTTTGATTGACTCAAACTTTAATTATCTATTTAATTTAGCCATAAATCGCAATGACTAGGATTAACAGATTTGAAAGCTGACTCTTCGTATCTGTCACAGGTCGAAATTTGTAACGAGGTAAAAGTTAAAACTATTTTAGGAATTATACTGCGAGTCTACTGTCAGATTTGCCCTTCTTAGCATTTACCTATAGTGCGAAGCTGAATACTGACGATTTCCTATCTTAAGGAACAGTAACACAACATCAGTATTTCTTTGACATAACTGAATCCAAACTTTATTGAAAAGTCAGTCGATTTGTAGTAGACTGATATAAATATGAATTATCAGTTTATAAATAGCTTTATTATAAAACTACGCAGTTATCTATTAAAAATATGTAAAATATCATATATAAACCAATGCAAGTGCATTCCTAGATAAACTATCTAATGGAATCTATGTTACGACAGCAACGCAAAAGCTACTCCGAAATAGTATCACAGCGTGCAACTAAAATTGATACGGAGTAGGATTAAGTAGAAACAATTGCTGTCGCAAAATAAACTAACAAAGTTGTTGTTCTAGTTAAAGTCAATAATTATATTATAAAATTTCATTGTAGCACTACGTCAATCATTTTATAATATAATTGTAGAAGTTGAATAATTAATTAGGCAAATCATTATCTCTACCGTATCGAAAGAACTTACCTTTACCGTCTATATTCTCTTAGTATTGACGTAGCAATATTCTCTCAATGATTGAGTCTTTGTGCCAGACCTATACGTAGTTGTCCATTAGTATAACTATCATTATGTAACAGCGTATAGGTAAGCCATCATCAATAAAGTTTGTTTAATGAGTCTTTACTTTTGAGTGGTTTTTACTCTAGGTAAAAAAGGAATGGATCAATGAGCTGCTTATTAATAGTAACTACTGGCAAGACAAGAATTACATATAGAAGATAAATTTTTCTATTATATTCTTGAATAATAACTAAACGCTACGTAATCATATTGTTAATACAATATAAACTAAAAATCATGCGTCAGGTTTACTCACAGATCGGAAGAACATATTAATCGACATCAGACTACTAATGGAAATAATGAAATTGTATTATCTTTATAAAATTCTAGACAATCGACTATCACCATCATCAAAGCTATACTTACCCTCTAGAAATAAATACTTTTCATCAGAGAAGCAAATGCAGACGCGAAAATAATAAGGTCTATAATCTCATTTCATCCCTATCCATAGAATGAGCATATCCAGGCGTATTTTGCTTCAAAAATACTAGCCATAAATTACTTGTCGGGTAATCACATTAAACTATGTTATCAAATTGATTCGATGATATTTCCAAAGTAATTAAAATGCTGTAAAGCAGCTGAGGCTACTTTAATTAAATTTTTCTTGATGGGCTACGGTACTGTGCCTAAATTTATCTTAAAGATTAAGATCAAAAATGGAACATAAATAATGTATAAGCATTCAGCACTGCATTAATTTCGTTCCATCTTTCAAATGGATTATTGGCCAGTTTTCAAACTTAAATTCTCAATTTAAAATGTTACGTAAGTATCTTAGCGTTAATCGTCAACTTCGATTTTGATCAGGAAACATTTAAATTTCAAAATTTTGATCATAATCGTAAAATAGTTATCAACCCTAACGCCAGTCTAATTATAATTATCTAACAATCAATCATCATCTCCAAATTCTAACCAAGGAGCAATTAACTTGAAATCTATCAAATTTGAATCGAAAAAGCAAAAATTTGCTATCGGATTGTATTAAAATGGAAAAATGATTATTTATTGTTATTTTGAATATTGATAGTAGCCTAATCAAGTGAATTAATCGCCTTTATGGCGAAATTGACCTACTCAAGGTTATCACCAGTCATACATAAATGGGGCTGGCAAACTGTGCTTTTTTAACCGTTATATCTGAGAAAATAAATGGCCGTTGCTTGATATTGCTTGTGTGATCCATTTATTTCTGCTAGCAAGCTGTGATCTATTGCTTGCTACGCCAATGACATCTGCCTTAAGTACTTCAATCATGGCAAAGAGAAGTCCCATACCATCTCTTATTCATATAATAATTTGTAAAATCTTGATCGCTTTCCCAGTTTATTGGTCGTATACAGTTTCGGTATAAATCCTCGTTATCATTAGTATTAAGCGCTATATCATTATCTTCCGGCCCACTGAGAAATTAGCACCAAAAATACTAAAATGTTGTACGCTTTGGTATGAATTATCTTGTTACTTTTTTAACACCCTTCCCCATTCATAATCATATCGGTTCAAAGTCAATGTGCTCAATTTTCATCTCGATCAATTTGGGCTATTATTGTTAATATGATATTGGTTGTGTTTCAATTTTTTTATTCGGATGATCGTTACATTGACTGCTTATGTTTTGATCCTATCCCAACTTGAGAGGAAAGTGATTTCAATTGAACAGGAATCTACTAATAGTAAAAATCTTAAGCGTAAGTTTACTTACGTTCTTCTAATTATAACTGTAACATTTTTTTATGCTCTTTACCTTGGACCTTACCGTTACTTTGAAGGCATTTACGGTCAATTTGTGACACTGGTTTTACTAGATGATAGCAATCCAAGGAATCCAAGGATGCGGGCAATTATCATATTAGGTAGGATATCAATGCCTGTCACTGCGACCATCTATAATCCAATAATTTATTGTATTTTTATGGTAAAATTTGAGAATTACTTTTTTTCTATGCTATTATCGATGGAAAAATAACGTAATTGCCTCAAGCGTTGGGCTCCCTGCTCAAGAAAGGACTGAGAATCGTCTTTAATTAAAAAACACATAGTTTCCAATTCGAAAGGATCAATTAAGGGTGCTCACCATTAAGAAACAGCTCCATTTAGATTTAGCTTTATAGTAACTATTATATTATCATAGATCATTCAATGCTACAAAATTTTCTGCCAAAATTGCTCTCATTCTTAGTTTGATCTAATTTTAAAACTGAGTATAACTCCATGCTTTCTATTGGGTAAAAAGCAAAAAGAATTTTGACGTTCTTGAAACTTCGGAAAATTACTATAGTACAGTTGGCATTTTTGTAATGATTAAAATA